TGCACAGAAGTCAGGAATTGAAGTTTGGAAACCCCTGCCTAGATTTCAGAGGATGTATGGAAATGTCTTGATGTCCAGGCAGAAGTTTGCCATAGGGGTGGGGTCCTCTATGGAAAACATCTGCTAGGGCAGTGTAGAAGGGAAATGTGGGATGGAAGCCCCCACACAGAATCCCTACTGGGGCACCACCAAGAGGAGATGTGAGAAGAAGGCCACCGTCCTCCAGACCCTGGAATGATAGATCCACTGACAGTTTGCACCATGTACCTGGAAAAACCGCAGACATTCAATGCCATAAAAGCAGCCAGGAGGGAGGCTGTGCCCTGAAAAGCCACAGGGTGGGAGCTGCTCAAGGCCATGGGAACCCCCCTCTTGCATCAGCATTACCTGGATGTGAGACATGGAGTCAAAGGCTATCATTTTGGAGCTTTAAGCTTTAACTGCCCTGCTTGATTTTGGACTTGCATGGGGCCTGTAGCCGCTTTGTTTGGACCAATTTCTCCCATTTGGAAAGTCTGTATTTACCCAATGCAAGTACCCCCATTGTATCTAGGAAGTAACTAACTTCCTTTTCATTTTACAGGCTCATAGGCAGAAGGGACTTGCCTTGTCTCAGATGAGACTTGGGACTGGGGACTTTTTAGTTAATGCTGAAATGAGTTAAGAATTTGGGGAACTGTTGGGAAGGCATGATTGGTTTTGAAATGTGAGGACATGAGATTTGGGAGGGGCCAGGGCAGAATGATATGGTTTGGCTGTGTCTCCACCCGTATCTCATCTTGAATTCTCATGTGTTTTGGGAGGAACCTGATGGGAGGTAATTGAATCATGGGGGTTGGTCTTTCCAATGCCATTCTCATGATAGCAAATAAGTCTCATGGGATCTAATGGTTTTATAAGGGAGAGTTTCCCTGCACAAGTTCTCTATTTGTCTGCTGCCATCCATGTAAGACGTGCCTTTGCTCCTCCTTGCCTTCCACCATGATTGTGAGGCCTCCCCAGACATGTGGAACTGTAAGTCCATTAAACTCTTTTTCCTGTATAAATATCCCAGTCTCAGGTATGTCTTTATTTTTTATTTATTTTTATTTATTTATTTTGAGACAGCGCTTTACTCTTGTAGCCTGGGCAGGGGAGCAATGGCCTGATCTCAGCTCACTGCAGCCTCCACCTCCCAGCTTCAAGCAATTCTGCCTCTGCCTCCCAAGTAGCTGGGACCACAGGTGCCCACCACTACACCTGGCTAATTTTTGTATTTTTAGTAGAGATGAGATTTCACCATGTTTGTCAGGGTGGTCTTGAACTCCTGACTTCAGGAGATAGACCCGCCTTGGCCTCCCAAAGTGCTGGGATTATAGGCATGAGCCACCACACGTGGCCTTGGGTATGTCTTTATCAGTAACATGAAGACAGACTAATACGTTGTCTAAGTGAAATTTTATAGTTTTTTCTTTATCTGTACAGATCTTGAATATACTGTTTGACAATTATTCCTGTGTTATGACTTTAATGAAAATTTTCTTGTGTTAGGATCTTTATTCCTGTGTTATGATTTTAACAGTGTGGCTACAGGCCCCATGCAAGTCCAGAATCCAACAGGGCAATCAAATATTAAAGCTCCAGAATGATATCCTTTGACTCTATGTCTCACATCCGGGTCACACTGATGAAAACACTTCAGTTTCAAAATATTGACTACTGGTATATAGGAATACAGTAATTAAAAAAAAAATCCATTGTATCCTGCCACTTTTCTAAGTTCATGTATCAAAATTAGCAGTTTATTTTCATTTTACTGTTTTAGTATTTTAAAAAGCACTTTTAGTATTTTTTAAAGCACTTTCAGGTTTACTGAAAAATTGTAGAGAAAGTACAGTCCCCATTTACCCCTTTTCCCTTAACACATACACACTATTTCTTCTAGTATTGCAATCTTGCATTGCTGCAGTACATTCATTTCCATTGTTGAACCAATACTGAAACATTATCATTAACTCAATTCCACAGTTTATGGTACAATTTCTTTGTGTTATGTAGTTCTATGGGTTTTTCATATATGACAATATTATCATGCAGAATAGTTTCACTTTCCTAAAATTTCCCTGCTCCCCTATTCATTCTTACTTCTCTCTCATCAACCACTGGCAATCACTAATCTTTTTACTCTACGGTTTTGCCTTTTCCAAAATGTCATATAGTTGGAGTGACATGGTGTGTAGCCTTTTCAGATTGGTTTCTTTCACTTAGCAGTATGCATTTAAGGTTTCTCTACATCTTTTCATGCCTTTATAGCTCATTTCCTTTTAGTGCTGTGTACATCCCTGTCTGGATGTACTACAGTTTATTCATCTATTCACCAAGGACTTCTTGGTTGCTTCCAAGTTTGGTAACTATGAATAAAGTTGCTATAAACATCCGTGTGCAGATTTTCATGTGGACATAAATTTCCAACACATTTTGATAAATACCAAGAAGCATGATTGCTAGATCACATAAAAATATGTTTTGTTTTGTCATAAACTGCCAAACTGTCTTCCACAGCAGCTGTACCATTTTGCATTCCCACCAGCAATGAGTGAGAGTTCCTGTTGCCCCACATCTTTACCAGCATTTGGTGTTGTCTGGGTGCTGTTGACTGAATTGTGCTCCCTTAAAATTCATGTGTTGAAGTTCTACCAACCAGTATATCAGAATCTGTTTCTGGAGATAGGGTCTCTAAAAAGGTAGGTAGAACAAAATGAGGTAATTAGAGTGGGCTCTAATTCAATGAGGTATCCTTATAAGGAGAGAAGATCCAAATGCAGACACAGATGGAATACTGTGAGAAGGCACAGGGAGAAGGTGAACATCTATAAGCCAAACAGAGAAGCCTCAAAAGAAACTAACCCTGCTGACACCTTATCTTGGACGTCTAGTCTTCAGAAGTATGAGAAAATAGATTTCTGGTTTTTGAGCCACCCATACTTGGTTATGGCAGCCCTAGCAAACTAACACACAGGGTTTTGAGTTTTAGCCATTTTAATAGGTGTTTGCTGGTATCTCATTGTTGTTTTAATTTGTAATTTCCTAATGATATTGAGTATCTTTTTAATAAGTTTATTTGTCACCAGTGTATCTTCTTTGGTGAGGTGTCTGTTCAGATCTTTTGTCTATCTTTTAATTGAGTTGCTTGTTTATTTACTGTTGAGTTTCAGGAGTTCTTTGTATATTTTTGATTCATGTTCTTTATCAGATATATGCATATTTTCCCCCAGTCTGTGAATTTTCCATTAAAGCAATGCTTTTTTGAGCATTCTAGCCAGGGCTCCTTGCATAATGTGGTCTGTCTGCTCTGGCTGGTAGGAATTCAGCTTACTTCAGTCTTATTTGAGCTCTAATTAATTATCCAGTTTTCTGCTTTTTATTGATTATTTCCTATATCCTGTGAAATTTTATCCCACATATGTGCATCTCAGCATTCAACCAAAGAATTTTTGGAATGAATAACTGCAGAAAGCTAGAGCTCTATCTTCCTGTGGAATGGCTCCCTCCTCTTAGGTGGCACTGTCACAAATTCTAGCTGCCACATTCTACCTGGACTGCCATTGTTGTCCCTTCAACTCAGTGCAACCAGTCTTTGTTTGAGTTCTGCTTTCCTATATCGAAACCTAAAAGCTGAACTCGCAGAGCTCATTTTTCTTGTTTTTCTTCCTTCAGAGTTTACAGCACTGCATGGTGTGTTTTCCAACATCTGAAAATATTTCTTTTCACATATATCTTGTCCATGTTTTTGATGTTTATAGTGGGAGTGAACTCTCACGTAACCTTTCACAGGTCGTAATGGAAATCCCATCTATTCGTTTTGAGATACTTTCAATGCTGAGGGAGCAACCTGTTTGTCAATTTCTTTATAGGCATACAACCTTTTATTTTGACCTCAATTTTTGCACATTTTAAAAATTGATATTAACTTGAGATAAGTTAAATAGCATCAATCCTCTTTTACACTTTCAGAAACAAACATTTTAGAAATAAAAAAGAGATAATATTCACTTCTTTCAGACTTTTACATAATTATAAATCCAAAAATAGTGTGAGTTTCACACAGGAAGAACCAAGATATATTATTTTACAGTGTCAGACTTTGCCATGGTGGTGCATCCGGTACAAATTGTCGTTAAATAATCATGAGAGAAGGAAAGAGAAAGTAGAGAGGGAGAGAGAGAAAGAGAGGGAGACAGGGAGAGAGAGAGAGAGAGGGAGAGGAGGCAGGGAGGGAGGGAGACAGAGAGAGAGAGAGAGAGAGAGATTTAGAAAGACCAAAATTGCAGGAAAACTGTAAAGAACATATAATAATATATGAGGGAATATATACTATCTGCACTATCTGCAACATTTATGGAAAACAAGTGAGAAATGGGGATTGAAAGAGAATCCATTAAATAACCACATTATTCATTTAATTTCTGAGCCAATTAATATAAATAAAATAGAAGACATATGGAAATATAGTTACATTTTCATTACAGAGGAAGTGCCAAATTAAGGCAGTTCTTTTATTTGCAGGCAAATGGATTTCCTAATATAGAAACTGAAAAGTATATAGACCTTTTCTCCAAATCATTGGTAGAACTGGACTACTATATGCCAACCTGTCTTTACAAATGGCTTAAAAGGAGCAGGGCAGAGAGTGTACTCTTTTCAGTACACCCCAACACCCATGAGTGATCAGACCCAAATGAGCTTGGCTACACATATGAGTTTCTCCTTATAAGTTCTTAGTCCATCTCTAGGGGAGAAGAAATGCTGAAGAAAACTCAATGCCTTTATATTGATGACAATAACGGTACTGCTCAAAATAATGGAAATTTCAGAAGCATTTGTGATAGGTGTTTCACCCTTTTCTAAGAACAACATGGATTTGTCTTTTCTTATTGCGAGACTACCCCTGTAATGTCAAATGATAGCAATGTTTGACTATGTATATGTTTAACTATGTGTATATTTAACTATGTTAAAGGAAAAAGTTCGGAGTGTCTACGGAGCAGGCTATGTGGAATGGAATTGTTGATAGAGGATAAGAAATTGTTTAAAGGTTGTAAAAAGATGCCCACTTGGGAATTCTGTTCATATTTATTCTCTCAGGCACTGTGGAGAGACAGAACATGGAGACACTGATGCTTGGGATGCCAATTAGCAGGCTATGGTAGCAATTGCAATTACCTACATGGAGGAAGTGGTGGTGTATTTGAGACACATACAACTGGATATGTCACTGTGGAGGTAGGAGGTAGGAGGGACTTCGTTCATCTAAATTTTAATGAAATTGCTATGTTCCAAACCACATCACACATTAACTGAAAAGTTTAAATCCTGCCCACAGATTTTACCTGAGACTCTGTTTAGCATGAGTAAAAAGGAGTCTTACCACTCCTTGTCCTATACTGCCTATTTGTTCATTATTTAACTTTCTGTTTCATGTAATTCTGCACAATCTCTATAATGTTAATATTTAATCCTGAACATAATCCAACACATGTCATGTCATTGAAAATAATACCATGACCCTGGTACACAATATTTAGAACAATTATAACCTTCAGGTACACAAAATAGGAATTTAACATCATTATTCTATTTTTGTTGTTTAAATTATGTTAACATTGTGTGAATTTATTTTCTTAGAACACTCCATAGACTATTTTCATAGGAACACGTAGTTAACTCCCTTCTTGTTATGTGGAAAATTCCCTAGTTATTGTCAGAGAAAGAAATAATTCACCAAGAAATCACAAAACTAACAGACTATGTTATCATTTTAGAGAGAAAATATCACATCATTAGTTTGAATGGTGAGTAGTGGTGGGAAGTATAGTTATGAAAGTGTTCTATTTATCATAGTTCACTCCAATTCTGACTGCATATACCCATTCAAGTTTCCAATCATAGTTGGTCTTTGTTTGTTTTTCAGGAAAAAAAATGTAGAGAAATGGTGAGGAATTGCATTGTTAGAGTCTGTATTAAAAAAAAGTCTCAAGAGAAGAAAATCTGATATTATCTAAAGAAAGCTCTGTGACTCTGGGGGATTCTTTGATGATTATAAATTTAGAAAGAAGAAAAAAAAAGGAGAAGGTGCTCACACATAAATACAAATTTAAGAGTTGCATGAAACTGTAACAGTGCCAAGAAGGCTAATAAAAAATAATCTGAGCCTTGAAAAATATGCTAGGAACAATAAAAAGAACACTTTTACTAGGTTCAAAACAGGAAGAGGAACAAGGAAGAGAGAGTTCCATTCCTTGCAACAGATGGTATAATGTTAACAGAACAACTTAACTGCTGTTTTGCTTTTGTCCTGTTCATGCAGGGAGTTCGTCTCACTGAAACTGTTAAAGGAAGATAAGATGGTGTTTAAGACCCAATGGAGCCGAGGAAGTAACGAGAGAGATCTCAATGCCAGAACCTCCACCTCAGAGACCTCCAGGCCAAATACCCGAGCACAGAAGGAAAGAATGGCTAGAACCCAGTTTGGCAATTGCTGAAAACTGTGAAGAATGAGATAGGTGACTAGGATCCAGGGAAATAATTCAGTTTTCAAAAAAAAGGTAAAACACATGTGTGAGAACTTGATGTCAGCTACTTAGATTGTTTCAGAGTAGTCCTTGGAAAAGAGTAAAACACATGCTAGGTGCCAGTATGAATTTATTAAGAGCAAACTATGGTATAGAGTATAACTTCCTTTTTCTCAATAAAATAGGGGAATGCAATTTTTTTTAACTATACATTACCTTCTGGGAAAGCATCTTTCACTCTGCATATTTATGAGATTCATCCTTGTTTTTCGCTTATCAGTAGCTCTTTCCTTTTTATTACTGAGTCATATTTCAGTATGAATACACCACAGTTTATTGCTCTCTGTGTAGGCACTTGGACAATTTTCAGTTTTTCATTACAAAGAATAAAGCTTTCATGAATATTCTCATTACAAACTTTTTTTTTGTGCGTTGTTTTCCAGTTTTCTTAAGTAAATTCCTAGGCAGGAAACTCCTTGGTTACAGTGAAAATATTTGGTATACACGATTTTGTATATCAAATGTAAAATCCCAGGCCCCTTCTTCAAAGTGAAGGAGAATATTCTATGTTACATCCTGACACACCATGCATTAGAGTTTCCCTGACCCCATGTTCTTGCTAGTGTTTAGTTTTTCCAATTTTTAAAGTTTTAGCTATTCAGGTTGTTAGTGTAAGTATTGATTGGAAAAATCCATATTAAAATTTCTTAAAACATCACTGACATATAGTCATAGAACAATCTGGTGGATAATAAATGACTGAATAATTGTTTCCTGGGAATTAAAATCAATGTATCACCTTTGAGTCTCTTAGTCTGTCAATCAACTGCATGACCATGCAAGTTAGCCAAGTTACGCGGGTCTCGTTTTCCTTTTTGGTGAAATAGCTTAATAATAGATCTGTCTCGCAGGTTTGTACTAAAGATGAAATGAAAATACCTATAAGAGAATTTAAAAAATGAGAGTCTTAAAAAGTTCAAGTTGAGTCTCAGGGACCCCTTTAGTATTCACTGCCTTAAATTGGAGTGGGTTCCTCAACAGCCAACAGGTGGTAAGTATTTCTCTGGAGACATTTATTTTATGCTACCCCAGAATTCCAGAAGACCCTATACTTAACTTTATATTAATCGGCATTTTTATTATTGCCTGAATGAAAATAGAAGTAACCTTAATGATATCTCTAAATCTGATAGGGGAGTTAATGTTTGGTGTCAGAATTTAGTTGTAAAATATTTGAACAGATTAAAATACGCCATAATCTAATAGAAATAAATAATTATTTTTTAAAGCAAGCAAACAAACAAAAATTCACTGGACTTACATCGTCTTACTACACCTAACAAATAATTGCAAAGAAAAAATTTAGTTGAGTATAGCATTACAACCCTAACTACAGAAAAAAGTATTATCTATAACTGTGTTTATAGCATTATATTATTCATATTTTAACGTAGTATTGTGTTTACTTTTGTTAATCATGTTTTAAGGGGGATCTTTTTTTCCAAAAACTTTAAAGTATTTTATTTATTTTATTTTTTGTGTTTTTTGTATTTTTTTTTAAATTATACTTTAAGTTCTAGGGTACATGTGTACAACATGCAGATTTGTTACATATGTATACATGTGCCATGTTGATGTGCTGCACCCGTTAACTCATCATTTACATTAGGTATATCTCCTAATGCTATACCTCCCCCCTCCCACAACCCCATGACAGGCTCCGGTGTGTGATGTCCAAGTGTTCTCATTGTTCAATTCCCACCTATGAGTGAGAACATGTGGTGTTTGGTTTTCCGTCCTTGCGACAGTTTACTCAGAATGATGGTTTCCAGCTTCATCCATTTCCCTACAAAGGACAAGAACTCATCCTTTTTTATGGCTGCATAGTATTCCATGGTGCATATGAGCCACATTTTCTTAATCCAGTCTATCATTGATGGACATTTGGGTTGATTCCAAGTCTTTGCTATTGTGAATAGTGCCGCAATAAACATGCATGCACGTGTCTTTATAGCAGCATGATTTATAATCCTTTGTGTATATACCCAGTAAAGGAGGATCTTGAAACAAAATGTATATTCAAAAGAGAATAAATAAGATGCAGGTATCTTTTAAGTTGAGAAACAGTTGATGATATTTAGTAGAAGATGGTGACATTGATGTGTTATCTTTTAGGCCAAAAGATAAAAGCAAGCAAGAAAGCAAAGAAATAACAGTAATAACAAAATTTAAGAACCCCTTGCATGGAAGAGATGCTTATTTCCTCTGGACCGAAAGGTATGACTTATCTAAAGTATGTACGTTTGGGGGAAGGTGATTTTAGCTACATGTAGCAGAAATTGAACTTTCTTTTCCTTCTCTCCTAGAATCCCATTTCTTCTGATTTTAGGGCACTTGCCAAATTCCGTTGTAATGTGGACTTTACTGTCTGTCAACCTGAGTGTGAGCTACTTGAGACCATAGTGTTGAACCTTGAACAACTCAGGAGTCAGGGGCACTGACACCCTATACAGTTGAAAATTTGTGTATAACTTTTGACTCCCCCCAGGCTTCACTAATTGACTACTGTTGACTGGAAGTCTGATCAATAATATAAACCATCAATTAACATATATTTACTTAGTGTATTGTATGTAGTATAACTGTATTCTCACAGTGAAGTAGGCTAGAGAAAAGAAAGTGTTGTTAAGAAAATCATAAGAAAGAGGAAATATTTACTATTCATTAAGTGGAAAAGGATTATCACAAAATGTCTTTATTCTTATCCTCTTCACATTGAGTAGGCTGAGGAGAAGGAGAAAGAGGAGGGGTTGGTCTTGCTGTCTCAAGGGTGACAGAGGAAGAAGAGGTGGAAGAGGTAGAAGAAGAGGCAGGAGAGACAGGCACACTAGGTGTAACTTTTATTGAACAAAATCTGACCATAAGTATATCCACACAGTTCAAACTCATGTTGAAGAGTCAGCTATGTTTTGTTGTCTTGTTAATCCTTCACAATTATCACAGAGCCAGGTACACATACTTGAGAGATGTGTGTTAAATTGAGTATAATAGATTATTTAATAAATAAAGACATCCAAGAACGTGACTAGACGCATTTGCAAGGAGACTGCCCCGAGATCCTGCAATCATCACACAACTGTGAAGGCAAATAATATAGATAATTTAGAAGTAATTTTATTTTTGTTTTAGTTGGGAGTTCTGGAAGATCTCTAAAGCCAAGTCTTTATGTCAATTCCATGAAGAATCATGAATCAGCTGCACTAAGTTTGTTTCATTATGAATTCTTCATATGCAGATAAATTTTTATGGATTCATTAGAATTAAAAAAAATGCACACGCACAAAAAACAAAAAGCAAAACAACTAAGAATATCAATAGTACCTCTTGAAGTAAGGCCAGAATCTATGACTAACTTGGCACATGAAGTATTTAATATCCTGGAAGTGATATTAGATTTTGCTGGGGTGTGAATCACTCATTTTGTTTTTCTAGAATGTCAGTTTCTGCTATTTTTCTGAAAACCATATGTCATAATGAAAAGAATCATACTTCAAGTTTAAGGTGTTTTCAGTACTGAATATGATTCATTATTTTTAACATTTTGTGATTTAAAACCATAATATTCATCTCCATTACTTAAAAACATTTTATTTGAGTGTGAATAGAGATATTCAATGAGGCTCACCAAGATCCTGTTTAATACTGGCAGAAGTTTTCAGTGTGACATTTTGCAGATAAGAGTTTGTGATTCAAGAGACAAAAGGAATCTTTAGCTTTTTCACTTTAATTCTGGCTGGCATACTCTAACCCCTTTTATTTTTTAATGTCAGTTTTCTGAAATGTATAAATGGATTCTCTATATATTGCAAATTATGCATTAGTTTTCATTGGTATAATTTCAGATTACATGCATGTTACTTCTATTATTTAAGTGTTCTTTCTTTTCTGTTTTTTTGGTCACGGTTTGTGTTTTTCTCTTAGAGGTTTGGGTCACTGTTTTAAATATTTACATTTTCAACAAAGATATCTTATGAATACATTATTCAAGTGATTGATAACATCAACACCAATTGTTCCCACATACTAAAACAAAAAAACCTTGAATGAAAATCATTTCAAAAATACAATATGAGTTACTTATAAAAACAAAGGAATTTATTATGGAATCTAAAGATATTGAGATTTTTTAAACAAAGACAATTGGAAGTCCTAGCCAGAGCAATCAGGCCAGAGAAAGAAAGAAAAGGCATTCAAATAGGAAACGAAGGATCAAACTATCTCTCGTCACTAATGATATGATTCTATACCTAGAAAAGCCTAAAGACTCCACCCAAAGACTCCTAAAGCTGAAGAATGACTTCGGTAAAGTTTCAGGATACAAAATCAGTGTACAAAAATCAACAGCATTTCTCTACACCAATAATGTTCAAACCAAGAGCCAATTCAAGAACACAGTCTCATTCACAATAGTCATATACATGAAAATAAACCTAGGAATACAGCTAATCAAGGAAGTGAAAGATTTCTACAAGAAGAATTATGAAACACTGTTGAAGGAAATCAGAGACAAAACAAATGAAAAGACATTCCATGCTTATGGACTGGAAGAATTACTGTTGTTAAAATGGCCTTACTGCCCAAAGTAATCTGCAGATTCAATGCTATTCCTATCAAAGTACCAATAACATTTTTCACAGAATTAGAAAAAACAATCATTCTAAAATTCATATAGAACCAAAAAAGAGCTCAAATAGCCAAAGGAGTCCTAAGCAAAAAGAACAAAGCTGGAGGCACAACATTACATGAATACAAACTACACCATAAGGTTACAGTAGTCAAAACAGTATGATACTGATAAAACAATAGACACATCGACCAATGGAACAGAATAGCGCAGAAATAAAGCTGCACCTCTACAGCCATCTAACCTTCAACAAAGTTGACAAAAATATGCAATGGAGAAAGGAACTTCTATTCAATAAAATGGTGCTGGGATAGCTGGTTAGCCATGTGCAGAAACATGAAACTGGACCCATGCCCTTCACCATATGCAAAAATTAATTCAAGGTGGAATAAATAATTAAATGTAAGATTTCAAACCCTAAGAATCCTAGAAGAAAACCTAGGAAACACCATTTTGGATACCAACCTTGGGAAAAAACTTATGACTAAATCCTCAAAAGCAATTGCAACAAAAACAAAAATTGACCAATGAGACCTAATTAAACGAAAGCACTTCTGCACAGCGAAAGAAGTTATCAACAGAGTAAGCAAGCAACCTACAGATTTGGAGAAAATATTTGCAAAACTATGCACCTAACAAATGTCTAATATCTAGACTCTATAAGGAACTTAAACAATTGAACAACCAAAACACAAATATCTTCATTAGAAATGGGCAAAGGATATAAATAGATACTTCTCAAAAGAAGACATACATGTGGCCAACAAATATATGAAGAAATGGTCAGCATTGCTAATCATCAGATAAATTCATATTTTAAAAAATGAGATAGTATCTCTCACCAATTACACCAATTAGAAGGGCTATTATTAAAAAGCCCAAAAAGAACAAATGTTGGTGAGGCTGTGGAGAAAAGGGAACACTTATGTATTACTGGTGTGTATTTAAATTAGTTCAGCTACTGTAGAAAGCAGTTTGGAGATTTCTCAAAGAAATTTAAACTACCATTCAACCTAGCAATGTTATTACTAGGTATAGATCCAAAAGAAAAGACATTGTTCGGCCGGGCGCGGTGGCTCAAGCCTGTAATCCCAGCACTTTGGGAGGCCGAGACGGGCGGATCACAAGGTCAGGAGATCGAGACCATCCTGGCTAAAATGGTGACACCCCGTCTCTACTAAAAAATACAAAAAACTAGCCAGGTGAGGCGGCGGGCGCCTGTAGTCCCAGCTACTCGGGAGGCTGAGGCAGGAGAATGGCCTGAACCCGGGAGGCGAAGCTTGCAGTGAGCTGAGATCCGGCCACTGCTCTCCAGCCTGGGCGACAGAGCGAGACTCCGTCTCAAAAAAAATAATAATAATAAAAATTTAAAAAAAGACATTGTTCTACCAAACGACACATGCACACGTATGTTCACTGCAGCACTATTCAAAATAGCGTAGACATGGAATTAACCTAGGTTCCCGTCAACAGTGGATTCAATAAATAAAATGTGGTACATAATACACCAGGGGATACTATGCAGTCATAAAAGGGAATCAAATGCTGCTCATTGCAGCAACATGGGCGCAGCTGGATCCCATTATCCTAAGCAAATTAATGCAGGAACAGAAAACCAAATACCACATGTTCTCACTTGTAAGTGGGAGCTAAACATTGGGTAGTCATTACATAAAGATGGCAACAATAAACACTAGGAAGTACTAGAGGGGGTCAAAGGTTGAAAAACTAACTATTGGATATTATGCTCACTACGTGGGTGATGGAATCATTCGTATCCCAAACCTCAGTCCCACACAACATACCCATGTAACAAATCTGCACATGTACCTCCAAATCTAAAATAAAAATCAAAATTGTAAAAAAAAAAAAAAAGCAAATTATTGTTTTGCTTTGAAAAGTAGATTTGTAAGTAATTTTAAAATCAGAAAAAAGAAACAGTAGATAGAAAAGAGCAACATTATTTTAAGTTCAAAAAATTAAAAATGCAAAAGAGATAAAACAAAGCAGTATCTCATACCAAAAGTAAAGATGATATCATTGAAATGTAATAAGACCATGCCTTACAAGTATTTCAGGAGCAAGAAGAATCTGGGGTCCAGACTGTCTAGCTAGCAGCAGATGGGAGACTTACACCCACTTCAACCTGGGCATAACTTTTTCCCTGCTGTGCATTTTGCAAAATATAAACCTTTATTTGCTACCTCAAAGGCTTTTTTCTTATAAGGCTTGGTATGCATTTCAGGTTGTTTCTTTTTGGGGGCAATGTTAGGTGTGTTACTCAGGAGGATTTACGGTGGTCAGTTTCCCAGAATGTCTGGTCCTAAATTTAAAAATGTGTAAAAAAAGTCACTATAACTCACAGCTAGGGAGAACAGATATCCCAAGTTTGCCAGGAAATTCTGGTTTATACCTTGTGTCCAAGCACAATTATCAATAACAACTGTATTTCACTTCCAACAGTGTCCCAACTGAATGAAAATCTATGGTCACCCCATTTACAGATTACCAGTTGGGTTTTAATTAAGCCATTACCAACCAATCTGTAGCTCAGAGCTCCACTCCTCAAAGAGTAGTACTTGGACTAATCTAACACCCTGTGCATTCCATGATAGCCTGTTAGAATCGCAGGCCTCACTCCAGATTTACTGAGTCAGAATCTGCATTTTAACAAGATTCCCAGGTGATTCACATGTATAATAAAATTTAAGAAACACTAACCTATAAAAACAGATCAACTTGACATTTGTTTTAGAACAGTTCGTTCTTTGAAAAAAGAGTATAAACACCTATACACAAAATATCAAGCAAAACAAAGAAAGTTGAATAAAGCAAAGGAAAAAAAAGTCAATCTTTTTTCCCATTCTCATTTGCAATTAGACTGCTTTGTTCATTTGCAATTAGATTGTTAATTAACATAGTATTTTAAAAACTTTTATCTTTATATATTTAGTTCTTAAAATTTTACATTTTTTAACATTGCACCTATCAAAATGTAACCAAACTTATGTATATAGTTTAAACAGACAACTATGAAACTAATATCTATTTTTGCCCTAGTCAAGGCAAGAAAGAGAATATGATTAGCATTTATGATGTACCCCAAGTTCCCTGCAAATGTTTCTATCTTTAATGTAGCTGCTATCCAAAACTTGCAAAAATTATTTTCTCATTTTTCTTCATAATTTTAACAAATGTATATGGATTTCCAAATTATACCATTTAATTTGCCCATTTTAAAACTTTATATGAAAGGGATAACACTGCTCATATGTAGGATTTTATTGTTTGTTTTTGTTTATTCAACGTTATATTTGTGAGATTGACACAAGGTGCTACAGGTGATTATGATGTATTTATTTTATTGCAATATAATTTTCTATTATATGAAAATGTAAAAGCTAATGCATTTATTCTATTATTTATAGATTTGTGGGTCATTTTTCTGTTTTCGTTTAGTGACTAAAAACAATGCTGTTATAAGCATTCTATACATGTATGAAGGTGCAATACAGATCCAGGAATTAAATTGTTAGTTTATAGTATATGTATGTCCTTAGTTTTACTAAATAATGACAATCTATTCTTCAGAGTGTTTATAAAAATTTACACTCCCACCATTAGTGTTCTTGTGTTTATTCCCATGCTTGCGAATTTTGCTAATAATTGGACTTTTAAATTTTTACCAACCTATCCGATGTGTTTTAAATTCTCATATCCATAAAAAATTAGGCATGTTGATGGTGTTTTCTTTGGAGGTTTGAGCATCTGAATATTCTTTCGTAAGCCAAATAGTCATGTTAGTTTAGTTATCTTGTCTTTTCACTTTCTTCAGGGTATGAGTGATGATCATAAATCTCTCCTTTTGATGTAGTTGAATTTATTATTATTTTTCTTTTATATTAGCATTTATTCTATGTTGCTTAAGAAAACTTTCCCTATTTTGAAATCACAAATCTATTTTATTATATTTAATTTTTATAAATCTTTACAGTTTTACCTTCTAGATTTCAGTCTTCAAGCCACAGGAATTATTTTTAATATAGAATCAGATATGGATCTTCAGTTTTCTTAATACCACTTATTTGATGTATGTTGCCCAACTTTTCATATCAAATATCAAAATATGAATCAATTTGTTTGGGGTCTGCTATTCCATTTCGTTAGATATTTGCCTATATTGTTGGTAATGCTAAACTTTGTTACTATAAATATATAAAAAAACACTGTAATGATTTATGAACTAAACTGATTTGATGGAGTTGAAAAACTCACTGTAAGAATTTCATAATACAATCAGAAGTATCAACAGCAGAATAGACCAAGCCGAGGAAAGAATCTCAGAGCTCAAATACCAGCTCTTTGAATCAACTCAGTGAGCGAAAAATAATGAAAACAAGAATTTTAAAAAATGAACAAAACCTCTGAGAAATATTGGATTATGTGAAGAGACCAAACATATGATACATTGATATCCCTGAAAGAGAAGGAGAGAGGGCAAGCAACTTGGAAAACATACTTAAGAATACTGTCCAGGAAAACTCCAACCTCACTATACAGGTCAACATTCAAATTCAAGAAATTCAGAGAATCCCAGTGAGATAATACAAGATGACCATCCCCAAGACACATAATCATCACATTCTCCAAGGTCGATGTGAAAGAAAAAATATTAAAGAAAGACAGATAGAAATAAGGGTGGATCACCTACATAGAGAACCCCATCAGGCTAATAGGAAACCTTTCAGCAGAAACCCTACAATCCAGGAAGGAATTGGCAGTAGGGTGCTATATTCAGCATAGCAACACTGATGGATCTGGAGGCCATTATCCTATGTGAGTAACGCAGAAACGGGAAACCAAATACTGCATAAAGGCTGGGCGCGGTGGCTCAAGCCTGTAATCCCAGCACTTTGGGAGGCCGAGACGGGCGGATCACGAGGTCAGGAGATCGAGACCATCCTGGCTAACACGGTGAAACCCCGTCTCTACTAAAAATACAAAAAACTAGCCGGGCGAGGTGGCGGGCGCCTGTAGTCCCAGCTACTCCGGAGGCTGAGGCAGGAGAATGGCGTAAACCCGGGAGGCGGAGCTTGCAGTGAGCTGAGATCCGGCCATTGCAGTCCAGCCCGGGCTACAGAGCAAGACTCCGTCTCAAAAAAAAAGGTGAACTCCGGGAGGCGGAGCTGCAGTGAGCAGATCCGCCACGCAGTCCAGCCCGGCCATATCATCCCATCCCAACACGGGAGGGGTGTCGTGCCGTGCACTGAGCGGCCACCCGCCCACGGCCCCCCGGGCGAAACAAAAACCCACACCGAAAAAAAAAAAAAAAAAAAAAAAAAAAAAGAGGTAAAAGCTAAAAACTGAATGCACATGGACACAAAGTAGAGAACAATAGATGCCAGAGTCTACTCGAGAGTGGAGTGTGGGAGGAGGGTGAGGATGGAAAAACTACTCATCAGGTCCTATGCTTATTACCTGGGTGAGGAAATAATCTGCACAGCAAACCCTCACAAAACATAATTTACCCATGTAACAAGCCTGCGCATGTACCCCCTGCACCTAAAATAAAAGTTGGGGAAAAAAAAGAGGATATAAGAGTTTCCAAAAATAAATTGAAAAACATTAATAGTTTTTCTAATCTTTGCATTTGTTTCTGTTTGTAATTATTCTTCCAGCTGATTGGTGTATGATTTCTTTGTGGGCAGATCTTTGACTACTGCTTTAATTTCTTTTGTGAATATAGGATTATTTGAGTATTCCATTGCTTGAGTCATTTTTAGTAAGTTCTATTTTTTTCTAGGCATTTTCTAATATTTTTCTTAAAATATTTTGGAATATAAAATTATTATCTCATCGTAATATTACTTTTATTTATGTGCTCCCTTGTTATTCCTGTTATAATTCATTTGGCCTTTTTTGCCCCCTCCTCATTAGTCAATAAAAGATTTGTCAGCTTTATTAATCTTCTCAGATGCCTAACTTTGAAGTTTTTCCTCCTCTTTTTTAGGTGGATACTTAGCTTCTTCTTTGTCAGCCTTTGTTATTTTATTTTCTGATACAGATTATATTAGTTTCTTAGAGTTCCACAATAAAGTGGGTGGCTTAAAACAAAAGCATACGTGTATCCTTCCACAGTTCTGGAGGCTGGAGTTGAATGCTGAGTTCAAGGTGTCAGTAGGGTCATGGTCCCTCTGAAGGGTTTTTGGAAGAATTCTCCCTTGTCTCTTACATGTTCTGGTGGGTGTAGGCACTACTGGCACTCTTTGGCTTAAAAATGTGTCACTTGAATATCTTCCTGTATCTTCACAAGGCCTTCCCCCATTGTGTGGGTCCATAAGTGTGTCCAAATTATCTATTCTTATAAGGACAGCAGTCATTGTATTAGGGCCCATCTCAATATAACATAATTTAACTACATATGCAAGACCTAATTTCCCTCTTCCTAAAAGCAGGGTGTTTCTATATTACAAAACATTTCTAATTAATAAAGAAAAACATTAATCTCCCATGTTAAATCAGTCATTGTTCAAATCGTGGAACAATTTCTTTTTGCATTTTCATTATATATTCACCTAATGTAATACATATAGCATAGGTATATTTATAATGTATATACATATTTTTATCTTGTTCTTTTTATAAATAATTCTTTCATTAACTTTAGTAACATTTTTTTTGTTTACAGATTTAAAACAAAACCACTATTCTATTTTTAGAAATATCTAAAGTCTATGGCATGTATCAGAATAACTGTGTATCAAAAAATGTTGTGTGTCTATTATATAATTGACAGCATGTCAATATTTCTCAAAAAGTGATTGAAATCTTTATTTGTAAAAGTTACATCAGGTAAAAGATAAAACTTATTTAAAGATGAAAAGGCAATTAAATTGTCAAATAATTGTATCTATAAGAAATTACTGTCTTTCAACTAGTAGGAAATTCAAGAGACTCATAATGATCAATAAACCATTTATCCAGTCCCCAATTATAGATTTTAAAAATAGTTTTTCACATCTATTACAAACTTCCAAGTCCATTAAATTCCTCCTCACATCTATTACAAATTTCCAAGTCCATTATATTCCTCCCAAGTACAATTTATTGGCTGTGTAACCTGTGTAGTATGTTCACCAAAATGTTTTTACTTTCCTTTTGTATACACATTTAAATCATATATCTAATCTGGCTGCAGTCAAGGGAGGTTATTTGGCTAGTACTTGTCAATAGAATGTGTGTGTAATTATTGTATGTTACATGTACACTTGTCCTCTAAAGACCCCTAAGTAACTTTTGGTACATTTTCTCTTTCATCAATACAGTTGGATGTAAAGGATTTCAGTATTTTTGGAACACATGATGATGGGATTCCAAATTCCTGTATTATCAGTTGGATATCTGGCCTAAAGAACTGTTCAAATTGCTCCAATCTGAAATGTGAGTCAGATATAAACCATTACTGAGATAAACTGCTGAAATTTCAATATTTTCAATATGTAGTAGCTGCCATAGTATAGACTGTGCTATCATGATCTTTGCGGTAATTGCTACCTTGACTTGTGACACTACTATAGGACAATAAAAAGAGTGAAATATGTAGCACTTGCTACAGATAATATATAGGATAAAATATATAGCTGAGTTACTTGGAGGCAGCAACAAAGAGATATAGCAGGAAAGATAGATGAATATCCAGGTTATATGGCGGCAAAACATTGAATAGATTTCATCTCCTGTAACTTGAAATGTAGATAATGTGCTTATTATATTTACAGCTCTAGGGGAATAATTTGGGAAAATGGTACCATAATAGTATGGATTGCTTACCATTGGCTCTGTTTGGCAATGTATTGCAAGAAAGAGAAAATTGATTTGGTAAAGAATTGGCTGGTTGAAATAAGAAATGAAAGGGAATGGAGAGAGCCCAGAAACCCAAGGTTTTGCAGATTTTGAAAAATAGATTATGTTTACCTCAAGTAAGTAAAAGATAGATTTTAAAATGGCCTTGAATGTCAAGGGCTAATAAAAATTCTCAGTTGAATAAAGTCCCTCAGAACAAATATCAGATTTAAAGGGCAGCCCCTGTAGCAGTTGTTCCAGATCACCCTACAGTAGCCACCATTAAGTTTTAAGAGAGAGCTGTGTACTTAAGAGCTTAGAAATAAGATACACGAACTAGATTGATTATTTAATTGAATAATTGATGATCATCTTGCCTCCTCCAGCAATAAATTCCCACCTGTCAGCATATAAAACTGGTCTTACTCTCCAATTTCTGGTTCTGACTCCTGCTAGTGTTAATTCATTACTTCAGCTGACATTTTACTGATTACAAAATTAGCTCATGACAGATCTTGGCAACTCTCATGACCACAGGTGGGTTGTGATTGAGACAACAAACCCCAAAGGCCACGTGTTGTAGGAGAAATCAGGTTTCACCTTGGTTCATATTTCAACACTTCCTACCGCCAACTGGAACAAATTTAGTGAACTGAGGAGTCTTTATTGACCAATCCGGCAGAGCCAAACTTTCCATGTCTCAGTCTGACACTTGCTCATGGCCCAGAGTCCACAGTGTTCCATCAGATCTATGATCCTGTTCTTAGCCTTGCTGCCCCTGTTTGTTGCTGTTGTTTTACATAATTCATATCCATAATCATAATACAACTGTCTACATTCTTATACTGGTTCTTACTAATTGTTTTTCATAATCATGTATCCCATTATATTTTATGAGAACTTACTTTGTAACAGGCATCTCAGAAAAAGACAGTAGTTTTATTTTTTGTTTTTGTATAATTTGAGATAGATCAAGTCCTTGCTCTGGAGCACCAGGTACAATGGAGGATGAGAAGAACTGGCAAAACTTAATGCTGAAGAAGTACGTGAGAGTGTCCAAGCTGAATGATGAGAGACTCCCCTTCACGCCCACAATGCCCTCCCCAAATCACTTCTAGATATATGTCATATTCCCTCAGGCATGGTATTAGAGGATTCTTCCCTAGATAGTGACCAAAGGAAGAGAATAATAGGTAAATACTGACAGAAGTCATACTTTTTCAGAGGCTCCTGGCTAGTTATCCTGTGGTACAATCCACTAGGAACCCACACATGGTAATCTACACAGAAATTTTTAAGGTCTTACTCTTAAGAATAAATGGGTATCCTGGCTAACCCAGTGAAACCCCGTCTCTACTAAAAAAATACAAAAAACTAGCCGAGCGAGGTGGCGGGCGCTTGTAGTCCTAGCTACTCGGGAGGCTGAGGCAGGAGAATGGTGTGAACCCAGGAGGCGGAGTTTGCAGTGAGCCGAGATCTGGCCACTGCACTCCAGCCTGGGTGACAGAGCGAGACTCCGTCTCAAAGAATAAATGGGTAGCCAAGAAATCAAAGATAAAATGAGGAAAGATTCCAACATTGAAGATAAAGAGCAAACAAATAAACACCAACAAACCAAGAAGGAGGGCAAGGAAATAAAGCTAATGGAGGAAACAGAGGGAAAAATAAAACTATAATTTATGAAAAACTTAAAAGTCAAATTGACAACAAGAAAGGAAGGAAGGAAGGAGAAAAAGAAAAGAGAAGAAAAAGAAAGAAAAGAGCTGGACAAGAAAAATGTGGTACATATACACCACGGAATACTATGCAGTCATAAAAAAGGAATGAGATCACGTCCTTTGCAGGGACATGGATGGAGCTGGAAGCCATTATCCTCAGCAAACTAACACAGGAACAGAAAACCAAACGTCACATGTTCTCACTTATAAGTGGGAACTGAATAATAGGAACACATGGACACAGGGAGGGGAACATCACACACTGGGGCCTCTTGAGGGAGGGAGAGCATCAGGATAAATAGCTAAAGTATATGGGGGCTTAATACCTAAGTGATGGATTGATAGGTGCAACCAACCACCATGGCACAAGTTTACCTATGTAACAAACCTGCACATCTTGCACATGTATCCCAGAACTTAATATAAAATTAAATTAAAAAGAAAAGAAAAAGAAAGAGTTCAGGTAGAGTGGCTCATTCCTATAATCCCAGTGCTTTGGAAGGCAAAGGCAGAAGAATTGCTTGAGGCCTGGAATTGGAGACCAGCCTGGGCAATATAGCAAGACCCCCATCTTTATAAAGAAAAGTTAAAAATTAGCCAGGCATGGTGGCAGGTGCTTGTAAGTCCTAACTGATTAGGAAGCTGAGTGGGGAGGATCACTTGAATCTTGGAGTTCAGGGTTACAGTGAGCTATGGTCTCACCACTGCACACCAGCCTGGGTGACAGAGCAAGACCCTGTCTCAAAAAAAAAAAAAAAAAAAAAAAAAAAAGATTTAAAAAATACATTTGAAATTCTGACATTAAAAACGAACAAGCAAAATGGACAAAAGGGTTAAATGGTAATACACTCTAAGTCCTGGAAAGCAAATTCAAATGACAAAGAGATGAAAAGTAAGAGTTGTAAAAATCAAAGGTTCAATCTAAGATGTCCAACATCTGAAAAGAAAACAGCACTTATAGGCTAGAATAGGTAAAATATACGTGGTGACATCAGTTTTTAAAATCTTATGAATATCTTTCAAAAGGCAGAATACAGATTTCCAAACAGAAAAGCTTACACAGTTTCCAACATAGCAAATTAAAAAAAATCACCAAGCCATGAGTTATAAAATCTCAACATGTTCAAGATAAATGGCAAATCCTACAAATTTCAGAAGGGTCAAAGGAATTACTCCTATATAGAGGTATTTGAATGCCAGTGAACTTTTCAAGAACAGCATTGGACATTAGAAAATAGTAAGACTTTCAAGTTCTTGACGGAAGATGTAGAATTCTATATCCAGCCACATTATGAGACTTGTAGTAAAGTATTTTGGGATGCATATTCTTAAAAGTATGCCCTCCATGCTCTCTTTCTCCAGCAGCTTCTGTATGACATTCACCACAAAAAAATAAGTGAAAAAGGAGAAAAATATACATGAAGAGACATATTTGTAAAACAGAAAATCTAACATGAGAGTAAATTCCTTGAAAAATGGTGAGGGGCAAATGGTTCCAGGAAATCAGCTGTATAGGAGGCACTCAGACATTTGCAAAGGTTAGCACAAGATGATAAAAGGCTCCAGGAGGTACATCTCAAAGAAAATGAAAAGGATTTTGTAGATTATCTGATATATGGAGATCTTAGCAGTATTTTACAATTTTGCATAGGAATGGTTTTTGTTACAAATGCAGAAAATCCAGCAATAAGAAATAGAGCAATTAGAAACAGCAGAAAATAATAAAACTTTTGTAAAAGGAAGCATATGTGGACTATAGGTTTGACTGTAAACTATGTACACTCAACTCTTTGTATTCGCAGGCTCTGTAACTGCAAATTCAACCAACTGTAGACCAAAAATACTTGAATAAAGAATAACACACCAAAAAAATAAAAATAAAAAATACAGTACAACTGTTGACATAGTATTTACATTTTGTTAGGTATTATGAATAATCTAGAGATGATTTAAAGTATACAGGAGGATATGCATAGATTATATGCAAATACTGTACCATTTTATATAAGTGACTTGAGCATCCACAGACTTAGGTATCCATTGGGGTTGTAGAACAAATTCCCCATGGATACTAAGGGAATATATACACACACACACACACACACACATACATACACACATATATATACATATACATATACATGTATATATGCACACATAGAGTATCAAAATTTTGACATAATATTGGGAGAGAAGGGAGAGCTTTTTGTGGACGAGACTGAGTAGCATAAAGTGCTAAATTTCACACTTGGTCTTAGCCATAAGGCCAAGAAGCAATAAAGTCGTAAATTTTTATTTCAATGTTAGAACTAAGTAGATAATGTTTAAGATAGAAAATTGGGAAACAGGGATATAAGCATATTATTTACACTTAGGGAGGTAAATTCAGGGCAAAAAATGAAAACATAGATCTTTTTTGGGGGGAATCTGGAGTGGAGTTTAGAACAGTTAATATTCATTATAAAACATGTATGATTTGCTTTTTAACCAATATACATGATTAATTTGAAAACAAATAATAAGTAAATAAAATAAAGACAAAGTGAAAGAATTTTGTATTTTCCTGAGATTGCAAGAAGTTTCTGCTCAGTAAATTGTGGTGAGTTACTCAAGGTTATGTTGCAAGAGAAGTTGAAGAATGAGTGGGAGCTTGAGTTTTGGCCTTATCTTAAGGGGGATTTGGAGTTACTGAATAATTTCATTGTAAACCATAATTAAATGTGCATTTTAAAAAGGTCTGTGTGTCATCCCGTGGAAAATACTTTGTTCATTTTTTCCATATAAGGCTGTAAGGACCTTGTTTTGATAGCTATTTGGACTGTTTACCTTCTAGTCCAGCCCTATTTGCTTTTGCCTCATTCTGACGCAGTTACCTCCCCAGATACCCACCCAGTCACACTAGAGCTGAAGCCTTGCTGCTAACTTGTACAAATACTGGGAAACCTTCAGTCTGCCTAAATCCAGGGACTTGGCAAACTTATTCTCTGAAGGGCCGGACGGTAAACATCTTTATTGTGTGTGTGCGTGTATGTGTGTGTACAGTTGACTCTTTAACAATGTGGGGGTTAGGGGTACTGATCTCCCCGGCAGTCAAAAATTCGTGTATAACTTTTGATTCCCCACTTAACTACTAATAGCTTACTATTTACCAGGAAGCTTACTGATAACATAA